TTCCTGACTTTTTTGTTGCCAGCATCCATTTCTCCTGTAGGGGGCTGTATAAACAACAGTCTAAGAAATCCTGTGTCCCTCAATGATCAAGATATTTTTTTTATTTTACAAGTAAACAATTAGAGTTTTTTCACAACAGTCAATTTGCAGACCATACTGGGCTTTCCAACAAGAAAGTCTAGCACTGTCTACATATTTGCCAACTGCTTCCTCAAGCTGAACATTCTCATCGGGCCATCTCTCTGTTTGGAGAGAAGGAGGTGGTGTGCCCTGCTATTGACTCAGTCACTTGTAGGTGTGTGTAATTTTATCTACTGCTATTAATGTCTATTCACAACACTATTCAGGCTATTTATACCACAGCGGTATATATCTAGTGCTTTGCCTCAAGCTCATTACCTGCTGGCTTGCAAGCTAAATCAGGAAAATGGCAGTTAAAAATAACACGCTGAATGGTATATGGTGGTATAATGTAAATTTTCAGTACTCCAAAAAAGATGAATGCCCCCAGCTACATTCTAGTTACTGCCCCAATCTCTGCCTGTTCTTTCACAAACTGTCTCAGGGAATTAATCCTCCAGTGACCTCTCTTTCAAAGACTATCAGCAACATGCTGGCAGTCACTGGAAAGCTGCAGTACAGAGATATGTACAGATCAAGCACTCATCAGATAATACTTCAACAGTATGTGTGACACTGCTGCAGAAGACACCAATTTCAGGGAGATCAATGGGGTATAAACCAAAATTACACTTTAACTGCCATAGAGATTAGGCAGGTCACTGACCTGGCTATGCAGTCCGATATGGAGCTGGCCTAGATTGGCCAAACAATTAGAAATCCGTTGACATGTATTACAGCTCGCAGGTGTGTCTGGAGTACAGGTTTATGCATTTCAGAAGAGTAAGAGGTCCAAAGGTTTCACCTTGCTATGTGGCATTAAAACAATGAGTGTCTCATGGCAGGTTATTAAACCCTTTACCATCTCTGCAGCAAGGTGAGCACAGTCCTCCGTTATAAAAGGCAGAGCCTTTTTTTTTTGTCACAGTCATGTAGCTAAGTATTTATTCAAGCTATTACCACATTATGTTGCGGCCAAAAATAGCACATGAGGTCATAAAAACTCCTGCTCCCAATTAGCGGTTTGCTAATAGAATCAGGAGACAAAAGTCTTGTCTCTAACCTATGTCACATAATTCCCATCATGGTAATTCCAGGGCCAACTGTTATCTTAATGATAGGCTGACTCACGGGCTTTATTTAATAATGAATGATGAGATGAAAGAATTGAAAATTCAGCAGCTTGCTGGAGTTGGGCTACAAGGAAACATTTCTAGAAGTGGTTGCTATGGTTTACTGCAGGTCGCAGCTCTCTTATCAAATGAAGCCCGGGCAGGTCTTTTGATTAGAAGGCACCTGTCAGGATAGAACGAAGGGAAGTTCCATTGTTGGCTTGCATTTAACGTGCATGCTCTACAGCGGTCTTCCGGACTTCTCTTCCACTACTTTGTGAATCAGTGGGATTGATTTAGTGAAAGAACAGAGCATGTGCACTTTACAAAGTTCATTTTTACCTGGCTTAGCAAAAGACGTGAAGCTAGGTGAATAAATTTGCAATAAATACTCAGTCATGTGTAAGGAAACTAACGGGAAAAAAAACAGCAACACTATTGTTGCCTGCACATAGTCGGGTTGTTGAAGTCAGCACAGCTTTACCTCATTCACTAATCAATGTGAACATTTAAAAGTTCAAAGAGTTTTACCCCATGTGTGGCGCTCGTCAGAGGCGGGGCGAGTTGTGGTACTTGATGGGTACCCCGTATGTGACTGGAATTTGGGGGGAATTTCTGTGTGGAAAGTTATCTCTTCACCACATGCATTTTTTTGGGGCTCCGCCCCCGCCATTGCTCCGCGTCTCATCATCCGGCATCGGAAGCCGACAGCTTGTGGACACAGACACGCTGCACCCTCAGGAGGCCCCAGGGTGCATCCACCTCCGCCTCCCCTCCGGAACCACCCTCACCCCCCTTCGAGTAGGCAGGTGACAACGCCAAGGGACGCCGGAACACCTCGGCAGCTGCAGTACCCACCCTCCAGCACCGCGTCTCTCCCCACCGTTGGAGCCTGTAGAGATCCGACAAGACAGTCATACCAGCACTCATTCAGAGGATCATCCCACAGCCCTGCACCCAGGCAGTACAGGAGCCCATCACCGTCGTTGAGAGCCAGCCTTCACGTTCCTAGCGGTGAGTTACAGAATTTGCTCCTTTTCTTACTCACCCACCTTATCTCACCTTGCCGTATTTGTGTTTACATTTGTCCCATCTGGTTGGACCTCCATACCACCCATCCTAAGAGGGACCATCTCTCCCCCACTGCTCCACTCCACCTCACGGCCTTCGTAAAAGCGAATTATCGACCTACCACAGGTGAGTACATCACCTACCCCTCTCATCCAACTTCGCCATATTTATTGCGCCAGGTAGTGGCGCTTCCGTTCTCCAATTTTTGTTTACTAATCAATGTGAAGATTCCCTTTGCAAAGTGTTCATGCTCTCCTCAACAAACAGAAGAAAATCTGGCCACACACCGGATTCCACTGAGATGGTTTATTGAAGCTTGTACCACATCACTGGTGTCCCACCCAAGGTCCACCCCCACTGACGCATTCCACCCAATCACAGGCTTAGTCGTAGACTCTTGGACTAAACGCGTCAAAAGGGTGGACCTTGGGCGATTCATCAGTGATGTGGTACAAGTTTCGTTCAACTATCCCAGCGGGATCCGGTGTGCAGCCAGCTTTTCTTCTGTTTGAATGGGCTCATACTGGAGTGAAGACGTGCTCCCCGCGGCAAGCACCTGGCTCATTCCTTTCATGAGCCGTGGAGGAGCAGTGCTTCTTGTGTGTTCTTCTTGCATTCTCTCCTCAAGTTAATCAACCACTCCGCCCTGGAACTCGAAAATGCATATTAAGCACTGGTACACCTGATATGCATGTCCTTGCTCTGGGTCAGGGACTTGGTAAAAAGCTGAGGCAAGGATAAGCAAATACACATTAGCAACATATATTTAAAGGTTTCATTTAAAACAGTTCAAAAGGGAAAGAATCGTCTTTTGGTTTTTAGTTATCCTTTAAGGATATAAAAAAAAAAAAGCAAAAAAACCCCACAGCACTGGTTTTGCTGACCAGGTTCTATTTACAGCTGAGATAAGAGTTGTAGGTTAAATCAATACAGTATATGGAGAAGTTGCCCATCCAGGCTGCACTTTACATTTGTAGCAAACGTTAGAAAATTTAAAACAAATCTCTGCGAGGCTATTGGCAGAAAACATTCCCTTTGCACTAACTGAGAAAAAGCTTCTTTTGGGAGCGTTTGATTCCCATTCCCCAGTGGTTCCATCCACTGACACCTAGGTCACTAATGTAGTGGCACAGGGGTTGGTGGGAAAAACCACAGTAGGTGGTGGTGAATGGGTAAACCCAACACTTCCATAAGGCCCCATTCACACTTGGCGATTCGCAAATTTGCATTTGCATTTTGCGCGATTACGCGCAAATGCTTGCATTGAATCGCGGTAAAACCCGCTCCAAAAAGGGTCCTGCTGTAGCGACACACGACCTGCGACAGCAGGACCCTTTGCCCCATTGCCAAGCATTGGAGAGCGATATCGCGCGGTAAATAGCCGCGATATCGCGGGAATTACCGCGCGATAAATCGCTCAGTGTGAACGGAGCCTAAGTGTCAGATTCAGCAAATTCTGCAAGCATCGTTTTCTCTTTAATATAGAGATCATACGTGAGGGGATCATACGTGAATATTAACCATTTTCTTTGCAGGGGATAGGAGCATAATTTTACCTTCCTACCTTACCTTAGCTAACAGCAATTCTTAACTGCACTGAATCCGTACAAACCTTCAAAATCACAACACATACACCCTGGGAGCTCCACAGTGCTGTTAATTTGGACTCCTTTTAAGAGCGCACGGGTTCCCTTTTTGCATTTTTTTGTAATACACAAAGGGAATCTCACTAAATGCAATATACGCCAGCCCTCTCCAACAATAGGCCATATGATAAATGAGTGCAGTCTGGGCACCTTAGGGTGGTCACACACACAAAAGAAAGTAAGTGATGTTTAGGAGCCTTTACCTTTAGCCTTTAAGAACCTGCTTAGGAATGTGATCATGAGCATTTGCAAGAGTAGATTTCCCAACCGGATATAAAAGAGCGTTACCATTACCAGCTGTTCCTTCTGCTTTCATTGGGAGGGAATGAAGCCTCCACACCTAAAACTTGTTGATTGAATTAGGAAGAGAACTGCAACAGGTCCCAGCAGGGAGGAATAGGCAAATGCCCCATTACATTTTCATCTTGGCAAGATATCTGCTGATGGATGTCTAGCCTAAGCGCTATGGGCCACAGCCTCATACCCAAACTGCCCCAATTATAATCCAGCACCGTCTCCTCCTTCAGAAGATTTGATAAATAAGGCTTAGTATTTTATAGTGCTAAAACAGAAAGCTAGTTAATTGTCATAGCACATGTGATTATGTGCTTCTCCAGAATGTGTCCAATTTGCTGCCTCCGCAGGTATATGCCAATGCACTTGCATTGATGTGTATTGTGTTGGCCGTAGTTCAGATTTGGTATGTAGCCATCTTGTGGTTTCTTTGTTCCTCTGTTCCCTCCCTTGTATAATGCAACACCTCCTTCTTACTCCATGTTCGATTCAGCCATTTTCTGACTACATATGCACATAAGAGGAAGGCATCATCCTTTTTTTACCTTCAAATAGGATCATTTCAACCATCTGCAACATCCTATTGTCTGCCAGTAACCTGCTGCATTCTGTAAAGATCTTCATGGATGAGAAGCATTTGGTGAATTCAGCTATCTGATGAAGATTGTCCACTGTGATTGTATCTGCTTTATACATGCCAGGCGCAGAGGTCTCAGAAAGGGATAAATCACTAAATAATTGGTGTCAGAATACCTACCTTTGTTGTACATTGTCGCACAGTATTTATCAGTTCCTGGATGACCAGATCCACACATTTCAGACACGGCTCCTTTAGTTTCACTACCTGCTTCTTTACTATGGCTTCAAATGCCATATCTGGTGTAAACAGACCCGTCCTGTATGAGGAGAAAGGTAAAAATATTATGTACAGGTTTATTGATCTCAGCCTAATTGTGAGTAACACGTTTTATCAGATGTCTGCACATCCCTTCCTGACTTCCCATGTTATCAGAGTCCCATAAAATTGCCGTAAGTTTAGACATTATGAATGCCATAATTGCGCAGAGCAATGCACGGTCCCCCTTGCCCTATGAGACAGTGTTTAGGCCGTCCATTATTAAAATGCACAATTATTTAGAGGCAGTGGGAGGATCATGTATATCCATAGATCCAGAAGTAGCAATAGAGCCAGATCATCCACAAGACAACCTAGGAAGGAGCTTAGGGTCGGTGGGTATACAGCGGGTCAAGCTACAACTTTTTGCTCCTGCGGAAAAACAGGGAATAGTGGAATTGTCAAAAGAAGTCAAAAGTGTGTAACTGCCTAGCAATTCACAAGGGAGAAAACATTTGTAGGCATTTCACTGAAAACCTGAGTAATTCTTCTATATTTTATGTGTTAGCTGGAGCTGGGCTATAACAGCGAAATAAGTCATTCAGAAGTCATGAGCTAATGAAAAATAGAACATCTGATACAACCATCTGTGTAAGGGCCACACTTACCTTACACCATGAATATTCTTAATGGCATAGCTGATCTCTCGTCGTAGATCCTTCTCGTCAAACTCCATCTAAACAATGTGAAAAAATGAGATTCTACAGAACTGGAGTAGCTACAGCCAGAAGTACTTTACCGGATCTACCCCCTGAACCAAAGACTGTCTAAAAGGTACAGCAGATTATAAATCGCACAAAGGGAGATCCAAGTTTAGAAGCATGCATCCATGTCCAGTATAAATAAATGATTTAACTGAACTTCAAGAGATGTCGTCATACAATAGGAGATCTCAAAGAATACATATGGCACTTATTAGTCCATTGCAACAAAGGGAGGGACTTGAATTTTTTTTTAAAAACTTTTTTCCTTTGGCCATTGTGTTTTTGTTTTATGATTTGGAATCTTAAAATTTGGTATATACTTTTTGGACCTTTTACAACTCCTGAGGTAGATATCACTAAGGCCCGGTTCACACCTGAACTAGGTTAGGGAAACTCCTGCAGAGCCTGCATCTACTGCCCTGCTATGGCCTGCCACTGTCTCACTCTAATGCCCCTAATGCCAGAGACTAGGGCACTACCAATCAGAAGACATTTGTCTCCCGTTAAGCAGCGTGGTCGAACGGCAGTGGTAATGAGCAACTGTCAACCACGCTAGCATTTCAACCAAAGCATGATGATCAAAAGAGGACAAGGTGCTATGCGCACTTTGTGCCCCTGGGGGACTGAAGGAAACTAGAAACAGAATAGTGAGACTTTAAGTTGCAATTTCACCAAGACATCGTCAGTTGGGCATAACACTGCACTGTGCACCATAATGGGAAGATGGACCCCATCATGTGGTTTGCCTACGGGATATGTGAATGATGGGGAAAGAGGTAGAAAACTGAGCTGGCTTGTTGTTAGATTTTATGAAAATTTGTCCAAGCCAATGTAGCTAAAAAGTAGAATTATTGAAAGCTTATGGAAAGAACTCTGGTTACGTTCAATATATAGAAATGCATGTGTAGCTTTGCGTGCACGCACACACGAATGTAGAGTGCATTAGAAATTGCAAGGAGCATCAGAGTATGAGCACAGTGCCAAGACCAGACTTGGACCACTCCACTGATTCCCTTGTAAACTTTGAGAATACACTGCCCCACAGTGCCAGCAAGTTTTAAAGCTTAATTTACTCTTTATTATGAATATGTTGTAATAGGAATGCCACTAGCTTGGCCACAGTTCTACTCTAAAACTTGTATGAACAAGGCTTAAAAAGGAGAACTATGGGGTTAAGGCTTTTCCCCATAGTTCTCCTGAGGGTAACGGGAGGACACAAACTAGCGTCCTCCCGTCACCCTAGGCTCAGTATACCGCGAGCTACAGCTCGCGGTATACTGAGACGCCGCCCAGCTGCGTGACTGACAGCTGGCTCTGCCTATCTAGAGGCAGAGCCAGCTGTATCCGCCCCCTCCCCCAGTCAGCACTGGCGGATCAGAGCGGGGAATCCAGCCCCTCCCCTGTCACGGCAGAGAGCCGTGACAGGATCAAGAGGTGAGCGAACTGCGGTATGTGTTCTCTCACCTCCCGATCTACTGAGCCGACCTGTGACAGTCTCATTATCACAGGTCGGCTAGAACTATGAGGTGAGTGAAAAGCACTCACCTCATAGTTCTCCTTTAAAGGGTATTATGTGGACAGCAGTAATATACATATAGGTAAATAAGGACATGGCCGCCAAAAGTCACTTTAGAATGATAACAATAATACTATACCTTGACAAGCTCGAATGGAAAGCGTTCATGGAAAATTCGGTTAATTCTGGCACCTCCAGACAGCTCTAGGGTGTCCACCTGATCCCCAGAACCCTCAATTCTCTTCTCAAAATCCACCCCCAGCTGTTGGACCATCCTGCAAGAAGACAGAGATGTTTACACCAACCCAGCATCATCAGCTAAGCGCACCATTGCGATGTGTGAGCAGAATACTCATAGCAATGCCTGAAACCTTTTACTTTATCACAGAAGTGCAAAGTGGACCCATCTTTAAAAGACCACAAAAAAATACTGTAATCTGGCAACAGTACCGGTTTAAATACCTGTAATGATGATATTCCGTATGTGAATTTTTTTTCCACAAGCATATATTTATTTTTTTCCTCTCCATTTACATACAGATCAAAAAATTAAGCATAGGTGGCAACCGCAGGAGTTAGGACTAATCATATAACACTGCTGGGGCTGTTTACAGTGGTCAGCTTTTATTCCTACAGTTGAAACTTTTTTTTTTAGCAACTTATTATGCAAGTCTGGAATCATGACATACTGCGTTACATGTAGATCTCCCTTCACCTTATCTCATAGCACTGCAACAGTGACAGGCAAAAGGCACATGCAAGAATGACACTGGCAGCTTCACCACTTACTGGAGAAGAGCTTTTGTTTTTCTCGTGGGGTCATCCGGTCGGAAGTTCTTGTACTCTTCAACCTCTTTCTCCAGGGACAGCATCTGGCTCTGAAGTTTACTCCGCAGTGCAGGAAGTGTCTCCCGAATGTGATTGGTAAGTTGCTGAAGGGGAAGGACCAAGGCAAGTTTAAGTGTCAGCCATTTAGAGGATTATAGGGCAGGTAATGCAGCATTATACAATGGGGAATAGAAGAGAGGAAGTGGGGAGAGCAAAGAAAAGGCGCACAAGTTGCTGCTTTCATGACCGCTACCAAAATAATACCTATGGCTTTTAAAATGTGGTACCCGTGCTTACTAGCACCCCCAGCTGCAGAAAAGTACTATGACTGTTCCATATAGATACCAGTTGTAGCTACATCATTACTGCCAAAAGTTCGTATATTTTTATAGGTAATAAGTAGGGCTGCAACTAAATGATCATTTCCATAAATCGATTTGGGCAATTTTTTGATTAAAATCTGATAAAAGAAAATTACATATCATCCTTAGTTTAAAATAAAATACACAAATGCCGTGTTACAATGTTTACTTCAGAATAAAACTGCATGCACAATTTTTTGCAATCACCTTGCACTGGAACGCACAGCATTGCGATCACACTGGGTGGGAGGCGGGGGCACCATTGAAATGAATGCCACTGCAACGCACCTCTCGCAGCAGAATTTGTCCCACCTTTTATCATTTAAAAAAAAAAAACTGTACTGTAAGCACATGTCGCTTGAATAGCCTCAGCCAGGGAATGACAGCTGCCAGTGGCAAGATTCCGCAGACGGCAGCTGACTGTAAATACAGCAGGTAGTGGGCTTGGGCAATAGCCAGCCTGCTATTGGCCATTTCAATTTGCAATAGCAGGCTGGCTATTGCACCCGCCCACTGCTTGCTGTGCCCTCCTCCCAGTGTGGAGGAGAGAGCTAGGGGATCCAACCAACTAATCGATAACAGTTTACAACTATTCTCGTTATCGATCGGTTGGTTGCAGCCCTAATAATACGCAATACATCCATCCATCATTACTGCCATAAGTTTTTAATGCCTCACTAACCAAACTGCTGCACAAATCAACTAGCATGATCATTAAAATAAGGCAAAGTGCAATGTGGCATCTGCATTAACCCATAAGAACCAATGAGAAATCATCTTTCACTGATTACTGTTCAGTAAAGTAATATTAATTGCTTTCGGTGGGTTACTGCACTGTGATCATCACTGATTCACTGAATATCCCACCCACTGAACAAATGCAACAGCTCAACATCAGCAGAACAGTGTACGTGGTACACAGATGGCTGTCGCAGAGCAATGGATGTTAGGCTTTCATAAGGGCAGCCATTCCTTGCTTCATTGCCTTAAAAACTTAGTACGCAGCACATGAAATCGGGGGAACATATGCTTTCAGAGCCTTGTCACACAGGCATTTCATTATAGCTGACTTTTATGCAAGGATGGCCATGGGTACAGAACCAGATGTGCAAATAACTCCAACCTTTGGATTGGTTTCTGGGATTTAAACTTTGACTTTCAAACCTGTACTGACCAGGGCATTCCCCCAACTCTGTGTTTCATAGGTGCTCTACTAAACTCAGTGAAAACAAACTCACTCCAATCCATCACCTAACACCTTAAGGGTCTACTGCCTATGCTTGGTACAAATACATAAAATTTAATATGTACATCTACTTGGTCACTGTATTACCAAACACATAAATCGACAGATCAAAAAGCAGCCCGATACCTGGTTGAGTGTTTTCTGTAGATGTGGTGTTCCCATTCTATCTGCAATATGTCGGTACCCAGGATGGGAGAGGAAGAACTTTCTCTCAGCAGCGAGAGCCGCCCGGATATCCTTTTTACCATCAATGTCCTTCTGGCTTCTGTTGACCACTCCAATGTAGCCTTTGAGAGAAAGGAGGCAGTGTCAGTCACAGTAGCATACAACAGCTGTGTAACTGGTGCGAGAAACTTTTCGAAACCCCCTAGGAAAACCCATGTTAATAAAGCAGACTCCATTCATTGTGAATAGGAACAAAACCACAGAACTATGGCTTTCCCAATAAAGTTTCTTCTGATTTTTGTTTTAGCTAAGACGATGAGCATTACCAATCCAAAGTTACTAAAGCTGCAATAAGAAACAGAGGGGAGGGATGCGTGTCTTGTGATGAAATCCAAGAAAAGGATTGTACAGGTGAACCAAAAATCCAATTTTTTTTAAATCATACATTATAATACACAGAGCGGTAATTCTGAAACCATGGGATGTCTAAATGATCTCCATCTCAATTCTGTAGAATAGGAGAGAAAGGAGTTTTAGCGGGGGAAAGGCATAGAGCAGGTTCAACGGATCCCACAGAGTCACCACAGCATCCAGTGTAAAGGGCCAAGGATCCCTGGTCCTGCTGAAAAATATGTCAATTTGTTGTTAAACTGGGATGCTGGGAGGTTCACATCTGGTGTCCCCCACATGCATCAGAGCTCAAAACACCTCTGGATTAAAAGGTCCTTCTCTGGAATCCAGACGCTGAAGACTTAGGAAGTCCGTGTGCCAATTTTCCACACCTGGTATACTGTGTGTACAGCAGTCGGGGCTAGAAGGTGAAGCTCTGCCCAAGCCAGAATCCGTTTGCTTCTCTTTGAGCTGTGGGATGCTTGGTGCCTCCCTGATTATTGCTGTAAGCCACTGCAGTGGCAATGTCTAACTGAATCCTGGAAGGGTGACCTTGCAGCAGAAGCGAAGAGACAACAATTCTGTTCCAGAATACTGACTGGGAAAGCACAACTTCCTCTGTCGATCAAGTTCCCTATGTCAAGAGGGTATCCAGGACTCCTACCGAGCCAGACAGGCCATCTTCCATTTTGAGCACCTTTCAGGCCACTGGGAGACTGGATCTCCCCAATTTCAGCACCAGACTGGAAATCCATCACACCAGGGGAAACCTGGTCTTGGTGGCCAGGTGCATGGGGAGATGCAGGGACTGAGCCTGCCTGTCTTAAGCTGCCAGTTTTTGGGATGCAATAGTCTGCAGCGAAAGTGGGCATATGGGATGGTCTGGGAGGAGGCCACTATTAGGCCCAGAAACCGCATGGAAAAACAAAAGGTTGGGCAGCTTCTGGACTGCAGGGTCGGGAACGTGAGATTGGAGAGAGTCTGTAGGCTGACCAGGTGAAAAAGTCCTGAACAGGACCATATCCAAAATAAGTCCACAATACCCCAAGTTATGAGTCAGATCCAACTCTGCTTTCTAAAGATGTAAGATCCAACCGAAACTTTGCAGGGCCTGCATAATGCGTGGGACATTGGCTGACAGGGCCTGAGCCAACTGTTCACTCAGTATTTTGCAGGAGACTGCCCAGATATCCCATGAAAGACACCCTGGGAGCAAAGCAGAGAGAGCTTAAGCTAGCACCTTGGTGAAGACCTGAGGTACATGGACAGCCCAAAAGGGAAGGACAAATGCAGATAACATTGATATGCAGGAAAGATGGGGATGTGCATGTAACCATCCTTTATGTTCTTCATGGCCAAAAAATACCCTCCATTTAATGTAGCTGTAATTTTTGCATTGCGGTTCCTCAGCAGATAGGTAGGTTAGGCAACAATCTCATTAGCAGTCTTGACCCTTCCAGGGGCATACTTACTAAGGGGTCTTTCAGTGACAGGGTTACACTAGGCGGGGAAGATGTCTGTTCTCCTAAGAAGACTAGACACTGGCAGAGCAAAGGTTCAGTTTTCTTTTGCTAATCACCTGAAGGTGAAACTTTTACCACCCTGTGTCTTGTAATGTATGATTAAGAAAATAAATCTTTCAGCTAGTAAAACAGATCACTTATACATTATATCTGTGTATTGAGTTGCCAAGATGGAGCTTCACTTTAACAGTTCTTGTCAGATTTTACAGCTCAATCACCCCCATGTCACATTCATCCACAAGGGACTTCCTTACCTCTCCGTAATGGCAGCAGTTTATTCTCTAGAATATCTCTGGCGTCAGTTCCCTCGTCCATTAGATCCAGTTTTGTTATAACACCAATCGTCCTTAAGCCTTAGGAGAATAAAAAAGTAAAAGAACATAAGAAAACATCCTAAAAAGTACACAAACGTACTGTATGAAATGGAACTATAGAAGTGAGCTAGAAGGTGCCATAATTCAATATTTAACACATTTTTGGATATAGAACCAAACTTGCTATAATACAAAGTGCCCTTCCATCCAGTAAACGGCATGCATGGCCCTGCCCCTTGTAACCACCCGAGTCTCTATATTGTTGAAGTTGCCCATCACATTAAAAGGCAGAAGTGTGAAAGGTTGACTTTTACAGGATAAGGAGATCTGCTTGCAACTTTAGCCACCTCCATTTTCAATAACTGTTTTGACACGACGTGATCACCTCTTCTTCGGCTGTTTGCTGGTCAGATGCTCCCTTTGAACTGTACAGGTTTACACAGTGGCAGAACTACCGCCGGTGCAGGCGGTGCGGACGCACCAGGGCCTCCGGCCTCTAGGGGGCCCAGCACAGTCCCAGCGCCGGATCGGTACCCAGCGGCAAGCGGGCCCCCCATCTCTGCGCCGAGAGTGTCAGATCATCCGTTCATCCGACACTCCCGGCGCAGAGATGGGGGGCCTGCCGGCCGCCGGGTACTGATGGTTGCCATGGCGATAGAATGCTTAGCCCGATCGGGAGCTGCGCTGTGTAATCTGACACAGCGCGGCTTCCGCGCCGGGTCAGCATTCTATCGCCACGGCAACCCTCCGCCAATCACAGCG